TCCGAAGGGCGGGGTGGAGGCGGGGCTGGGCGAAGCGAGCTGAGCGCGGCTGCCGGTGTTGAGTTCCCGGTGTGAAGTCAGGCCCTCGGCGGGGGCCTTCCCGGGGTCCGTGCATTCTCTCGACACAGTCACCGAATCCCTGCAGGTGCTGGTGACACCGCTGCTGCGCGGGAGGGAGCTTTCGGTCCCGCCCACTGACCTGTGATGTGACGGCCGCCCCGCCCTCGTAGGGGACAGAACTGGGGCTCAGAGAGGTGGTGGTTGGTCCGCCCAGCTGGGAAGTGGATTCACAAAGTTAACGTCCTTCTTCTCTTTGCCTGGAGAAGGGACGAGGGTGGCGGACTCAGCCGCAGACGTGGACTAGCAGGTCCCTGAGACCCAGCGGAGTGCATGGAGGCACCCGCGTCTGCAGAACAGAGGGGCGTGACCCAGAAGCAAAGGGACAGCGAACACATGACACGGGGGACTCAACAGTCGGGAACCCCGAATCCACGCCCCACCAGCGTGACTCGGCCAACAGGCTGAGCTTCCATTTCTCCATCAGCGGAATGGGGACCACACTGTTTGCTCTTGGCCATTGTGTGGGCAACCCAAAGAGTTAACTAAATGTAACTGCTCACCAAAAAAAAAAATGTATTGAGTGCTGTCCAGCTGCCATCAGCTTGCTCTGGTCAAGCGCGACAGATTCTGGAAAATGATTTCTTTCCATGTCTCTCCAGGCTTCTGTTCCCAAGTTCGACAGGATCCCCTGGCTTTGTGAGGCCAGCCTGAGAAACAAGCCCCTGGTGCTCAGCCTCCCCAGAAGGTAAGAGAGCTCAGCTGCCGGTGGCAAAGGTTGCAGGGAAGGCCACACAGAAGCAAGGCCACGCGTCTGGTCAGTTGAGAAACCCACGTCAACTGTTCCCTGATTACACAGTCTTTGGTGGGAGTGGGAGGGGGTGCAGGGCAGGGGCTTGAGCAAGGCAGGCCCAGCACGCAATGAGGTGCCCTCAGAACCTGCTCACTTTCGCAGCCAGGTCCTGGAGGGTCAGAGGGGAAGGGAGGGGGGGCTTTTCCTGCAGCCAGCCACGCTGGAGCTAGCTGCCAGGAGAAGGACCTGCGGTGGTCAGAGGAGCTCGCCACGTGTCTGTACGGGGAGGGTCCGGGCAGCAGGGAGCCCTTGTTGAGAGAAATGACACCCACCTGCCTCACAGAAGGTCTAACAGGATGGACCACACCTGTGAGGTGCCCTGCGCTTTGGGGAGGACAGGTAGGCATGCAAAGTCTGCTGAAAGGCTGGCTGTTTAAGTATCAGCAATTCCCTAGGATTAGGAAATCCTCATCTGGCCAAAGCTCTGGGTTCCACGCTGTTTATTTTTTTTAATATATTTTATTGACTTTTACAGAGAGAAAGGGACTGGGATAGAGAGTTTCAAACATCGATGAGAGAGAAACATCGATCAGCTGCCTCCTGCACACTCCCTACTGGGGATGTGCCTGCAACCAAGGTACATGCCCTTGACCAGAATCGAACCTGGGACCCTTGAGTCCGCAGGCCAACACTCTATCCACTGAGCCAAACCGGTTAGGGCGCACGCTGTTTATTTTTGACAAAACCCTTTCTGTTCTGTGTCACAGCTGCTTTGCCAAGGCTAGCTAAAGCTTAAAGCACATGTAGAACTTTCATACCGTAATAAAATGAACCACACCGGCCAGCAGGTGTGCCACCCTGTGAAGAGCATCACTACTTCCCTTGCAAACCGCAAAGAAAATTCCAGGGAAGACGTGGCTGGAGGGAGGACATGGTCCACGGGAGGAGGTGGTGGGTTGCCCCGCCCGGGGATGCCCCGTGGCTTCTCTCTGAAATAGGAAGGGCCTCGCCCTTCACACCAGAGACTGTGGTTCTGACAGGCTTTTGTTTTGATCACTCAGATACCCTCATGGCTCTGCCACTTCTCTGAATTCATGGAGGAAGGATGTGAATTCGCCAAATATGTTTCAAGTTCCAAATGGCTTATCTAAGGTACTCAATTTTTTTTTCTTTAGTTGCAAAGAAACCAATAGCAGTTGTAGGACAACATGAATGTGCCTCCAAAGACACTTCCTGTCTCCTTAGCACAGCCCAAGCCTGGGGCATGTAGGTGTTCAGTAGACATTTGCCAAGTGAAATGAACGAGCCCCAGCCAGTCACCTCGTTCAGGGCCCCCAGGTCCACTGGAGCTAAGAATAGAGGCCTGAGGGGAGAACCATCAAAAAAGGGAAATTAAAAATTTCATGTTGAGGCATCTGCCCTGGGACCTTCAGGGACTGCTTCTCCGCCTGTGTCCAGAACCACACCTAGTTTCTGAGTCTCTAACCCCCTCCCACGACCACCATAAACCCCTAGGACCCCTATACACATAGGTTTTCACATTAAACAGTCCTCATCTCCCCTCCACCCCTGAAAGTCAACCGTGCCTGGCTGCTGGGTGACATGCAGTGGCACTAGCCTCACAGAGGGTCCCCAAATTTATGGTGCGTGTGAAGTCAGCACCTCCCCGAGGTGGAGGAAGAGAGAGAACTCGGACATGAGCAGTTTCTTCACCCGAAAGATAACCCAGCACAGGACTATTGTGGGCAGTGCAGGAGGCTGCATCCCTAACGCATTTGGCCAGAGCTCTGTAGCTGTGTTTACGTCATGACCAGCCTTCACGTCAGGGGATAATGCTTTCGCAGCCCTTTTACCTGGTTTCATACAGATACAGGGATGAGCAGGTCAGTTCCTGCCTACACAAATAACAGGGCACAGGGACAGGCACAGGGCTGCCCAATGTATATCAGGGCAGGGTGGGAGGAAGGGTCCTCTGTGGGCGGGGGAGGGGCGAACAGAGACGGAGAGAGGGCGGGATCCAGAGGTAGTGGCATCTCACTGGCTCAGAGGATTTCCACGAGTGAGGAAGGGCCCTGGAAGCAAGACCTGCGACTGAGCACGCAGGACTTGCCTGCAGAGCTTTGAGCGCTCAGGCCGCAGGGGCGCGGGCTTACATGGAAGGGACGGTGGAGCTGGGTGGGCCTGGCCACAGCACTGAGGGTCAAGGGCAGGGCTGTGCTCCAGGGTGATTTCATTAATCTCCCTAACACCCAGGCAAGCAGGTGAGAGTGTCTGCTGCCACGACAGAGGGGCTGAGCAGGGACACGCTGGGCTTGGCATCCAGGCAGAACCAGCGAGAAGCCTTCTGGTCATTTAGTCTCCTTGAACTTCCTATGCAGACAGCCTCCCCCTGCCACCTAGCGCCACCTCCTGCAGGTTTGCTCTGGGTCTCCGCACACGTGCAGAGGCACTGGCTCCAGGCACCCAGGACACAGGGAGGAAGGCATTGCTAAGGCCCAGGCCGATGAGAGGTTCCCCTTCAACTGGGCTCCGAATTTCATGGCTGCAGTGCTCATGGGTGGCCACTAGAGGGAAGCCCAGAGCAACAGCTTCCCAGCCTGGGACAATGGGCACAGCCCGAAAAGCCAGTCCCTGGGGGACTCAGGTGACAAGTCCATTACTGCTGTTGGGTACCTGGAGGAGGGGGGGAGGGGGTCCTCTTCTCTCTCTCTCTCTCTCTCTCTCTCTCTCTCTCTCTCTCTCTCTCTCTCTCAGCAACCTTTTCCATCTTAGAGCTTTCAGCTGGGCCTGAGGATTGCATTAACCGCAGACAAATTAGGGGGAGAAAAGCACATCTGTTTACTATGTTTTACGTGACACGGGTGCCCTCCTACAGGAACAAAGACCCAAAGAAGTGGCAAAGCCAAAACGTTTTTATATGAGAGAGGCGATTGTGGAAAAGTAACTCAACTGCACGGGGAGGCTAGAGGGGAGAAGAGATTTAAACAAGGTCTGTTTGCAGAGAATTCCCTCAGCTTCATCTTCTGGTCCTTTACGATAAGGATGTTGCTTTCCTTCTGGCGTAAGGAGGGCCTCTTCCTTTTGGGGTTTTTATCTCCTACTTTCAGGAAGAAAAAGGGGGGTCAGCGCACCCTTCTTGCACCTGCCGTCTTACAAAGTGCCTTCAGCTCCAAATAACCCTGATGGCCCAGTGGCATGTTTGGGAGAGGCACATTCTGCCACCTTCATAGCAAACCTGGGTCCCTGTTCTGTTGGGACAGCTGGCAGGTATCTCAGGTCAGCTCCCAGCCCGTCACACAGACTCAGATCTCAGTCGTGAAGGCCTGAGCATGTCTGCTGTGCGGTGAACAGCCGCAGCTGCTCCTTTCTGGAAAGCAAAGAGCAATGATGCATCTCATGGGAGTGGAATGCCCCGTGGACACGCTGTCTCTCCCTTTATCCTCTAAATCGGGGACCTGCTGAGAGCTGCAGGCAGCCCTGCTGCCAACCAGACCTCCTGGCCCTGGGCGTGGTGCAGAGGGCCTGCCCTGGCTCCCTCTTCACCGTCACAGGTCAAAGGGCAGGACTTCGGTCATCCTCAGCCAGGTGGCGTTCCTTCCTGCCCGGGAGCTGTTCCTGGCCAGTGCAGGTGTCTGTGTGCCCGGAGTGTAGTCCTCCCTGATGAGAGAGGGAAAGAGAGGAAACAGGCTCAGAGACAGAAAGATGGGAAGCCGAGCCAAGAGACACACGGAGACATAAGGAGACAAAAATACAAAAAAGGAGATGGAAGGGGAGAGGCATAAGCTCACAAAGAAGAAAGATAGGAAATGAAGACAAAGAAACGGAGCCTAAACATCCCCCATGCAAACCTCTACTGTGGAGCGCCTGCTCTGTTAGTCATGACTGCCACCTGCCACTCCAGGCGGCCACTCATGATGCCCAGGACAGGAAAGTGTAATTGGATAGGTGGATGCGTGAGGCCAGGAGGCTGCTCACTCAGAGCTCCACGGCAGGCGGAGCAGATGTGTGGGGCCACTGCCAAGACCCTGCACCCCCTTTTCTGCTTGCCAGGCTTGGGTGTAACGGACTAGAGCCCCACAGTCACTCGTGGAGGGTGAAAGGCCACCCGACTCTCTGCATTCCTGCCCCGTGGACTCTGTCTCCTCTCTGATCTGTTGTTTTCCAGTCTAGTGAGTCAGAATAAAGGTGAGAACGTTATTGCCTTTGCTTTTAGCAGCTCTGTGACAAAAAGCCCTGACTAGTGACGTGGTGCAGGGACATAGCTGAGGAAATACACACGAAGGGCGACTCCTACTGTTCTCACCCCCGAGAACTCTTTCTAAGATTTCTCCCATTGACACTCAATTTTTGAAAGCTCGTGACCACCACAGAAACTACCTTGTATACGCCTAAGTTGTTCTCCTGTTGATATAGATCCAACATATATAACTGTAAGACCATCTTAAAGGGAGGTAATCATGAGCACCAGTGCCCTGAAATAAAATGGTAATAATAACCAAGTTTACTAAGTCAGGACAGCAGGTACATGGCTGTTGCTTATTTTGTGTGTGTGCGAAGTTTTTCCGAGTGAACAGGAAGATAATTTTAAAAACTACATTCAGCTGCATAAAACTACGGAGGTGGCCAGTATTTTCAGAGATCAGGACAATGTTTAATTATCATAGGGTTATTCTGGCATATTGAAAATAGTTCTCTGAGCACCACTTTTTGTATTTGAAGGGATATAGGCATCTTTACCCCCTTATATGGATCCTAAGAGTCCACTGTCCCCTTGACCCTTCAGCCAGAGGACTTTCTGGTGGACAAACTAAATAGATGAGCTATTCGACAAGCACCCTAACCTTTCTGGGCCACATTTTCCTCATGGTGTTCATTGAAAGAGTTGAGCCAGGTGACCTCTCTCAGCTAAGGCAGGAGTGAAACGGAGAAAGAGGAATGGAGGTGCCGAAGGGAAGGGAGTACAGAGGCAAATTTGTCATTCAGCCAGAGAACTTTCTGGTGGACAAACTAAATAGATGAGCTATTCGACAAGCACCCTAACCTTTCTGGGCCACATTTTCCTCATGGTGTTCATTGAAAGAGTTGAGCCAGGTGACCTCTCTCAGCTAAGGCAGGAGTGAAACGGAGAAAGAGGAATGGAGGTGCCGAAGGGAAGGGAGTACAGAGGCAAATTTGTCAGTGCTCCTTGAGTCGTGCTATTTTTAAAGTCACCATCTGCTGCTCACATTTTCAGTTTTTGTTGTGAGACAGGTGTGTGTATGAAAGAGAGAGAGATTTCTCTGTTTGTTTACCAAAGATTGAAGGGGGCCAAGGACTTGGGCCATGAGCCGGATCTTGGGAACCTGGCAGATGTTGACCTCGATATCCAGATGTTTCCAGCTATGACATGTGAAGAGCAAGCTTTGGCTTCCTGGCCTGGCTGAAACCTGCATTAGACCTTGGCCAGGGGACAGAGGCTGCTGTCACTCTCCAGTCACAGCTGCCATCCGCTCTCCTGGGGACAGCTGCTTGGGAAAGGAGAACTGTCTAACATTTCCGAGCCTCTTTCCTCGGTGGCTGGGACTCTATAATACAACCCAGGGCCCGGGCTCTGAACCCTCCATTCCTGCCACTGCTGGGCTGGCCTTGAGGAAACCGAGAGTGAAGGGGACTCGGCGGCAGAGCCCGACGGCAGGGAGGAAGCCGACAGAACCTGGGATCCCAAACTGTTTGCAGCAACTTCTTTGCATCTAGGCTCTTCCTGATCCCTCCGTTGGGACGTTGCCTCTCTCTTTTCTGGAGGCCCAGAGTTCCGTTGCCTCTTCTATGACACATGGTGCCCCCAACCTTGAATCGCAGATTCTGGGAGGTATCTCAGTCTCAGAACTCAGAGATGTGAGGGGTGAATGGAGGGGCTCATCCCCAGGAGATTCCACCCCTAGAACCTCAGGGAAGACAGGGGAGAAGGTTGAATTGGCCCAGAAGCAGAGGAGTCAGCACAGGACACTTCCTCTCTAGTGTCTCTTCTCACTGCATCCCTCCTCCCAAGGAGTCAGCACAGGACTCCTCTCTAGTGTCTCTTCTCACTGCATCCCTCCTCCCACAGGACACTCCAGACACCCTGAGCTCTCCTGGGTGCCGGCTGGTCATTCCTCTGTGTAGCTGCACAGCGTTTTCTGGGCTGGAATGCCCTCCTCCTGCCCCCTCCTGTTCACCTACCCAGGCACTGCCTCCTCTCTAACCTTCTCAGACCCCTCCCGGGGGCCTCAATATACTACATGATTGTACACAGCCTGCTGGGTGGTGACAGCTTAGAGGCTGTGTCTCATTTATCTCAGTGTCCCCAGTCCCTAATGAATGGGCAAATGAACGAGTTTGTATTCTTCCCTGGTCTTCCCTGGGGCCAGGAATTTTGTCACCGCCCCCTCCACATGGTAGCCTCACAGTAAGTGTGTTGTTGTTGGATGAATGAATCTAGTCATTCACACTCATACTGTAGCATACCGACCCACAGCACGGCAAGACTGAGTCGATTGTTTTAAAGCAGCCGGTAAAAATGAAGTGTATTTTAAACATTTGGTGGAAGAGTCCAACGTTGTCCATAGTTTTCAGTCCTCACACCCCCAGTGTGAAGCTCCATGGGGACCCACCCGGCAGAGGTCACGGTAGGAGCACCCCAGGCACTCCCCACTTAGCTTAAACATGTCCCTCCTCCTCCTGTGTGCACACCTCCCAGGGCAGCAGGGACAGCTCAGGGCCCAGGTGTCACAACAAGCCGATCCAGTGGCAGGAGAAGGCTCCTGTGCGGAGTGATGGTCTGTGGGTCCCAGGACCCTCCTCCCCATCATCTGCACCTCCTGCGAGCGTGTCTCAGGACGCTGCCGTCAGTGGGCATGAAGGAGGTGAGAGAGAACCCCAGGCAGAACAGGAGTCTCAAGTTCCCACTTGCTGCCTCTGGAGCCTCGGACCGCAGGTGGCGATGCCTGGAAGCCTCCCTTCAGCCTGGGCAGGAGTGAAGTCAGGGAGAAAGCAGCGCTGAGCAGACCCGGAGCTTTCTTGTGCCGGGGCAGCCTCTGTTCCCCCGAAGTGGAGGAGCTCAGGACCCTGCACCAGCTCTAGTTCTGCTCATGGCTTAAATTGTGACTCTGGGGAAGTGGAGCAGGGCCACCTGGTGCTGGACAGTGTATGCTGGAGAGTTAAGGCGTGAGAAAAGAGGGCGCTGCGTTGGAGGGGCCAGTGAAAGGTTTGCGGAGGGAAGTCTTCTATTCGCTTTCCTCAAGCCATCGGAGGTCCTCATGTCCCCGTGGTGGACCCTTGTATAAAATGGGGAGAGTGCAGCCCCTCAAACTACGTGCTCAAGTCGAAAAGACAGACCTTGGTTCAGTCCCCAACCCCAGCCTCAGCCCCCTCTGCCAGCTGTCCTATCCCTGAATCGCTGTCTCAGGGGCTCGAGGCCACCACCACGTCTCTGGCTCAGCCCTCCTGCCTAAACCCTTTCTGCACCTACTGGCTGCAGTCAAGCCTTGATTCTACATCCACCCAGGATGGGGCTGCGACCAGAGTGTCCATCTCTGTTTTATGGAAGGAATAACTGTTAACCTCCCTCACCCCTCCACCCTCTTCCCACTTCTGTGCTGCCCCAGATACCACAGCATTTCCTCACTGCTCTCTGCCTTTCCTCTCTCTCCGCAGGCCAGGAGGAACCAGAGAGGCCCCATGCTGGGCAGGAACCAGCAGCTGTGCTCCACATGCCAGGAAGTGAGAATGGTAAGCCTGGCGATGACAGAGATGGGCAAGGGATAAAAGGAATCCAGATTATAAATGAAGGTGTGAAACTATATTTGCAGATGGTGTGATCTTATATATAGACAGTTCTAAGGGATCCACACATACAAAAACTATTAGAGCTGATAAATGAGTACAGCAGTGTTACAGACTAGACTAGTAAGATCAATGTACAAAATTAATTTTATTTCTATACCCTACCAATGAACAATCCAAAAAATTGAGAAAACAATTCCATTCACAATAGCCTCAAAAATTAAAATACTTAGGAATAAATTTAACAAAAAAAGTAAGACTTGTACAACAAAAACTATAAAATATTATAGAAAGAAATTAAAGAAGACCTAAATAAATATAAGTAATCTCACATTCATGGACTAGAAGACTTAATATTGCTAAGATGGCAATACAACCCACCGAATTGATCCACAGATTCAAGGCAAGATGGCAATACAACCCCCCAAATTGATCCACAGATTCAAGGCAATCGCCCTTGAAATCCCAGATGCCTTTCTTACAGAAATTGACAAGCAGATCTTAAAATTCATATGGAAATGCAAGAGTTACAGAATAGCCAAAGAAATCTAGAAAAGGAAGAACAAATTTGGAAGAATCACACATTTTTTATTTCAAAACTCACTGCAAAGCTACAGGACTTCTAAAGAAAATAGACAGCAAAGACCACATATTGTATGATTCCATATATATGAAATGTCCAGAGTAGGTGAATCCATAGAGAAAGAATATAGTTGTTGCTGAGGACTTGGGGGAGGAGGACTGACTCCTGAATAAAGGAGTCATGAAAATGTTCTGGAAGTCGATAGTGGTGATTGCTATACACCTTTATTAATATACCAAAAACCACTGAATTGGACACTAACATGGTAGATTTTATAGTATGTGAATTATGTCCCAATTTATGAAAATGATTAGCAACAGAAAAATATTTTTTTAAAGTAAAAGCATAAAATGGATGAATATCAGTGAAATAAAAATCCTAAGTAGGATGTGGCTTGGATAATTATTATTGGTGCTGAAGTGACCCTTGGCCAGGTGCTCCATTATTTAGTGTGGGGTCACCAGGGACAGCTGTGTGAAGGGCACACTTCACACCCTCATGTATGCTTTGCAATGAGTTCATTCATCCACTAATTTGGTCAACAAATATTTCTTAAGGACCTGGAAATACTAAAGTACAGATGTGGTCTATGGCCTCAGGAAGCTGGAAGTCGGTAAGGGAAGCCAGACATTAAGCAAATGACTACAATGAAAAGGTTATGAGTATTCTAGTCGAGGCAGCCTAGGAACAAGGAGGGCATTGGGCAGCCACCCGGGACCCAGTAGTGCCTGTGAAAAAGTGATAGTTAACCTGAAACCTGAAGAATGTTGTGGTGAGCTCACCAAAGAGACCTGGAAGATTTACTAATCTTGAGGTATCTAACTTCAAAATCTGGTAACCAGGGAAGAACAAAAACCCTATGACGTGTGAGCAGGGTAATTCCTTCTGGTTCATTCATATCACAAAAGGATACAGTTCTGACTCTGATATTTAAACAACTTGAGTTTGTTAAGGTGGCACATATAGTTTATGAAAATTGGAATGCGGTTTTGGACAATGTTCTAAATGAGACTGTCTTCCTCAGGTTCAACCAAGAACAATGATGATCCCAAATGATCTGAAACATTCCTTTGAGAATTGTATGAGTCATAGGTAAGTCAAAGGTTTAAATTGGGACGTGGCATGGCTAATTCCGATTATATTGGTTTGGGGGCACAAAGATAATGAATCGAGAAGCAGTTAGTAGAATGTGTAGGGGATGCTAAGGGATTTGGCTTCTTTTATTTTTTATTGATTTTGAAGAGAGAAAGAGAGAGATTTATTCCACTTATTTATGCATTCATTGGCTGATCCTTATATATGCTCTGAATGGGGATCAAACCCGGAACCTCGGCCTATTGGGACGATGCTCTCTAACCAACTAGGCTACCCAGCCAGGGCCAGAGAATGGGCTTCTTGATTGGTTTTGTTTTTTGGTTAAACCAGATAGTTAGACCCAAAAAGTTTTTTTCACCCTGAAACTACAGTAGGAGGTTTCATCATCCTTTCCATCTTTGCAAGAACAGTGCAAGGAATAAGATAGGAAATTTCTTTGACAACTTAGGCAGAAGTAAATACAAATTCTCTATGTAGATGGCATATCTAATTCAGGTCACAGAATCTGTCGTGACTCTGGGACATCCGCTGCACTCTTTAATAACTAATATTCCTTTTCATTGTCAGTTTGGTTGGTTGTCATTTGCTGCTTTCTTATCAAAAGCAACTATATCAGAAATAAAATCCAGGCAGAATTTTGATTAGTTGGATTTCAGTTTTTTTCCTGTATTTAACTATCAGACAAAGAAGAAATACTCAATTTTTACGTTATTAAAAAACTCAAGCCCGGCCGGCATGGCTCAGTGGTTGAGGGTTGACCTATAAACCAGGAGGTCCCGGTTCAATTCCCAGTCAGGGCATATGCCTGGGTTGCAGGCTCAATCCCCAGTGGTAGCGTGCAGAAGGCAGCCGACCAGTGGTTCTCTCTCATCATTGATGTTTCTGTCTGTCTCTCTCTTTTTCTCTCTCTCTCCATTCACCTCCGAAGTCACTAAAAATATAATTTTTAAAAAGAATAAATTCTAAAAACAATAAAAAAAAACCTTAAAACATGAACTCACCCTGCATCAGGCACCAAAGTAGGTAGAACTGCTTTGCAGTAGATGGTTGGACATACAGTTACCCTTATATTTGACCAATCAAAAAGGTTTACTTTTCCCCCCTCACACAGAGAGCAATAATGTGGGAGGATAATAGGTCTTTATTACATTGGACAGCAGCAGCTGACCTCAGGGCCATTCGGTCCACATTGAGATGTAGGCTCCGGTGCATTAAAACCACAGTGCCTGGCCCAGGTTGACAGGATCATGGAGGAAATGGGTATTTGAGCATTACCGGCTCCAGCACCCATAACGTTCACCTACACTGAGTCCATACTTTTAAATAGTTCTTATGTCAAAGCACAATAAAAGTTATTCCAATAAATAGTCTTTATGGACTGCAAATGGAAAACTCAACTCTCGAAAGCCAGGGATTTCTGAGCAAAAGCTCACTCTTCTATGAAGGAGACTTTTGCAATTTGTTGCCCCAAATTATTTATCTTACAAGTTTGGCACTTTGCTCAAAAGTACTTTGTTTTTGCAAGTTTGGCCCAGTTGTCTCTGCTGCGAGGCGGTCTCAGTACCAGGCTAACAAGTGCTGGATTCAAGAGGCCATCGCTGTTTTAAAACATGCAAGGACACATTCCTTTCCAACAAGCCCTAGTCAAATAACTAACGTGGTTTCTTGCTCTCCCCAATCAGAACGAAGAGTCTTCAGCCACCAAAAGCTCAGACTGAACCCAGGTGTTCCCCTGATGACATCTCAACAGGTTTGCTTTCTTTGGTAGTATGTGTGGTACGAGGCACACTGCCCCCGGAGTAGTAGAATGAAAAGTTTAATCCCCTAAGATAATTTCTAAACTTTCTGAACAAATCCCACTCTCTTTTTAAAAAAATTGAATTGATTGGGGTAACATTGGTTAATAACAATATGTAAGTCTCGTCTCCTTCCATCACTATGTATTTGACCCCCTTTATTCTCTTCATCTTCCCGTACCCTTCCTCCCTTCTGGTAACCACCATACTATTGTCTGTGTCTATGAGTTTGTCTGTTCATGTATTGCTTTGTATTTTAAGCTCCACAAATGAGTGAAATAATATGGTTCTTATCCTTTTCCATCTGACTTATTTCACTTCACATGATACTCTCAAGATCTACCCTTTGTCACAATTGCCAATATATTCTTTATATATTTTCATCATTTTTTATGACTGAGTAGCTCTCCATTGTGTGTATGTACCACATCTTCTTTATCCAGTTATTCATCAAAGGAACCTTCCGTTGTTTCCATGTCTTGGCTATTGTTGTGAATAATGCTGAAGTGAACATACATATATCTTTACAAATAAACATTTCCAAATTTTCTAGGTAGATACCAAAAGAGGGATTGCTGCATCATATGGTAGCTCTATTATTTACTTTTGAGGAACCTCCAAACTGTTTTTCCGTAGTGGCTGCATCAATTTACATTCCCACTGGCAGTGTATGAAGGTTCCCCTTTCTCTACATCCTCTCCAATGCTTGTTATTTCTTGTCGTATTGATAACAGTCATTCTAACAGATGTGAGGTGGTATCTCATTGTGGTTTTGATTTGCATTTCCCTAATAGCTAGTGAGCATCTCTTCATGTATCTGTTGGCCATTTGTATGTTTTCTTGGGAAAAGCGTTTGTTCATGTTCTCTGCCCATTTTTGAATTGGATTGCTGATTCTTTTGTTGTTGAGTCGTATGAGTTCTTTATATATTTTGAATATTAGCCCCTTATCAGAGGTATCATTTGCAAATATCTTCTCCCATTTGGTTGGTTGTCTTTTTGTTTTGTTGATGGTTTCTTTTGCTGTGCAGAAACTTGTTAGTCTATTTTTGCTTTTATTTTTATTCTATTTTTTGCTTTTACTCTCCTTGCCTTTGTGTTAAGTTCACAATAACCTTTCTGAGACCGAGTTTAGTACCTATGTTTTCTTCTATGTATTTTATTTTTTCAGGTCCTATATGTAAGTCTTTAATTCATTTTGAGTTAAGTTTTGTGTATAGTATCTGATAGTGGTCTAATTTCATTCTTTTGCATATGACATTCCAATTGCCCCAGCACCATTTATGAAAGAGGTGTTTCTTTCTCCATTGTTTGTTTTTGGCTCCTTTGTTGAAAAGCAATTGCCTATACACTAATTGTGTGCTAGGAAGGCAGGCCTGGTAGTACCCGTTAAGGTGGGAAGGGGACTGCATTCCCACCTGGGATGGCCTTACCAAGGCCCTGAACCTTCCACGCCACCGGTTTCCTAACACACCCGCCTTCTCCCAGAAGCTGCCCAGTGCTATTCTTACGCTCACTTGCTGTTGATGGAAAATGGAATAGTGGCTCTGTCTCCAGCTTCAGCATTGACCTAAGCCTCATCTTTTAGAGAAGCAACACTGGGCTCTCAAGGTGGGAGTGGATCATTCTTCTGGGTGAAAGGATCCAAGGGTTCAGTGCCGTGCAGGCTGTCATTTGAGAGACTTTGTCCATCTTCTCATTTGCATTCATATTGACTAAAGTTGCCTCCAGTTTTTCTTTCATTTGAAACACACAGTAAGGAAAATCAAGGTCATTTTCTTCACTTCATACAGATGGGGAAGTGCAAGCTCTATCCTGGTGATTGCAGAGGAGCTAGAGCCAGAACTGAACTGAGCGGGCATCAAGAAGGAAATTTGAGCATAGAAGGGGTATCTTGAAAAGGTCCCCAAAAGGAGGACCAGAGACTGTGGTAACAGCTGAGGTTTGGAGATGTCCACTCTTGTGGGGTGAAAGTCTGCTAGTTCCAGTGAATCCTTTTTTATGAATCCAAAGAGTTTGGCCTAGCCCGTGGACAAAGTGGACAAAGAGCCAGGAGCTAAGAGTCTCCTCTCAGTGAAAGCCCTGCTGTCCTCTGTTCTGCAACCACCTCATTCTGTTGAAGCCAAGACAACACTGGGTGACAGGCATGTGCAGCTGGTTTCAGGGGTCTCTATAGCAGCCACCCAGTCCTGAGTTTCCTTTAACCTGGATTTTTTCAGGTCTGCCTCACAAAGGAATGAAACACACACACACACACACACACACACACACACACACACACACACCACACACCCTTCCCTCAGCAAGAATGTTTATCTTCCGATTCTTTAGGGCTATGTGATAAGATGCCTTTTATTGACTTAATAGCCCTAGGAGTGTATTCCAATGGCCAACAGGAGAGCTAGACTTGGTGTACGCGATTATGATCAGCACATTGTGTTCTTTCCCGGACAGACCTGGTTCTTGCCCATAGAGTCCATCCAAGGACAGAACAAACAGAGCCTATGGAGTTGGCTAGGAGCTGAAGCTGGGTAGATCTACAGTTGATTCTGGTCATGATGTTTGTGAGCTGAGCTTTGCTATTGTGTGTGCTCTCTGAGGTTATGGAAAAGCACTAGCCGGGGAGCGGAGACCTGGCTTCGGATCCTCGTCTGCCCATACAAGCTTTGCCCAATTGTTTAAACTGTTTGGGCCTCCGTGTTCCCACCTGTAAAACTAGAGAAATGTCGTGCCTCCCACCCTGCCCGGCCACCCCCACTCCCGAGAGAGCCAGAGCCTCAGTACCAGCAGCCTTCACCTTTGATCTGCCCAGAAAAACTGCTGACACGTCCCCAGCCCTGCTGATTTATGGGGCTGAGACATGTTCCTGCCACAGCGTGTGCTGCTCATTGCTGCAGCGGCCACCCACCTGTGCTGCATCGCCGTGGACATGCTACAAAGACCAAGTAGCTGACTCATCCCACAAACATTACTGCCAATTTTGCTGATTGCAACAATGATTTCTAGTGTATTCAGCTAAACTTCATGTATTATTGATAATTATTGGTGAGAACTAAGTAAGTGGGAAGAGCCTATCTTTGTAAGTGATGGGGAGGGATTTGTTCTGAATCCATTTGCCTTGACTCTGGCCTAGAGTCCCGAGTCCCATGACACCCACAGGCTCTTGTCAGTAAACATGGGTAGACATGGATGCCTACGGCCTGGCACAGCGTGTGATATGGTACAAGGAGCTCTGGGTTTTGGTCCTTGGTCTGTCAGTGCCCATAACCCTGGACCTCTGTCTCCTCTTCATCAGAGCGATGAGCCTAGACTGGACCCTGGGCTCGTTATTTTGTGACTCTCTCAGCTCTCATTCAGCTGGAATGAGAAACATGTTCCAGAGAATTCAGGTCTCCAATTCCCTCTGTCACTCAGTGACTTCCAATGGGAAGCTATTATTTCATGTACTGCTTTTTCTCCTTTAAGCCACATGTCTTTTGGGAAAGTTGAATATTAACAACTTTTTGTAAATAAAATAATATTCGACTGAGAGGTCAGGATGGTAAGAATTCTAAAGAATTCCAAAACAAATTATGTTATAAAACGAAGGTTCCTTTGAAAATGCAAGCACTTTTCCCTACTGTGGCCATTTTGTCAGATCATGTTTGTGTGTTTGGTGAGCAGAACCACATACGGGTCCCTGAAAAGTCTTCTGAGAATCGATTCCTCTTTCCCTCTGACTCATATTACAAATCAGGATGCATTTTATCTTCATTTTTATTTAATCGGCCGCGACTGCTCATACTTGAGTTTGGTTTCTAGGCACTCCTTTTTGGCCTCTTTGACAAGAGCTGCAAAAGCTTAGTTTGTG